GATTTTGGACCACCGTGAGTCATCTTTATGACATAGACTTTTTTAATCATTTTGACGCCATGCTGGTATTTCCATGACATTTTTTGCGTTTTTTTCCTTGATGACATTTTGGTGATTATTTAGACCTCTCAAGAAGAACAAGGGGTAAAAAGAAAGGAATAAAGAACTTTGTATTTAATTTGGAAAGAATTTAAGAGTCTAAGATAAGTAGAGAATTACAAGATTTACAACCATATGCCATGAGTTAGTTTTACGATTTTTTATTAGTTTTTAGCATAGCTTGACTAAACCAGCACTTATAAAAAAATACTATTGCAAAATGTCATGGAAAACAGAAAAAATCAGGTCTGACTTTCATCTGAAAATGCACCTTCTATTAAAATTGCTCTAAATTAACTCACTGGAGGACATTTCCATGTCATGCTCATCGTGTATGTGTTACTCATTATCCTCCCCTGAAAACTAAAAATAGCTGGGCTAGAAGATGTTAACTGTAAAAGGAACTATTATTTCAGCATTACATGAACATTTTAAAGAAAAGCTATGAATCAACTTCTTTGTTCCGCTAAAGATAAAATGTCAATCAATTTATGGGCATGGCATTGAGGAATGCATAGTTTTCACTGCAAGCAGTCCATTCTGAAGAGAGATAAACCCCACTATTTGTTTTGTATCGCGTGTCATATGTTACTCCAATCCATTATAGACTGATCACCATGCAGTCGCAAACATGGATCCAACTGCTTACAATTCATACGAGCCAACGCGCTCTACCAGTCACTTTGCACCCAACAATCACAGAGCATTACTCCTCAAACTACCAACTGTAGCGATCGGTCTTGACTTAATTGTTATTAATATACGGTACAAATTCATAACCACACAATTTTCAAATTCACTCGCTGGACTGACTCGAGTTGTGTCGCGCTTGCCGGTTTCGCAATCACATGACTGAAAGAAGACAGCCATGAAGGTAAGTGGTCTTCTCAAACCTGACCGCAGGAATTACCATTGATATTGACCACTGACTGGCCCCAAAGCCAAAGGGGGCATTGCATACTGTAATCACGTACCATTGCAACGATGACCGGCTTGGGGTGCCTATTGCCATTAGGTGAGATACCTTGACGAAGGCGTACAATCATAATGCACTTGTTTTGGATGCAAGATTTCGAAATTGACGAGTGTGAGACGACCTTCTTGATCGATCGATGCATGAACGTTACCCACTTGGTAGGTGATTGTCATTCATTCATCCGTGCAATGTCACACACGAGTGTGTAGACTTGCGATTTGAAAGTAGTATGATTATCAATTCAAATACGGGCACCGCATCTACAGAGCAGCCCTCGTTGTTGCACCTGGTAATTATACATGTATGTATACAAAAGCTACATGTGATTCAAGCTAATCGTTTCAAATGTCAGACTACTGCAAACAGGCGCTACAAGATGCACTTTCATTTTATAACGTGTCTATTCATTGAAGCGCCAGCATGCTTCAATTGCAGTTGGGTTCGAGATTTCAATAATGGATCTAGGATCCATTTGGCAAACGGTTATAATGCTTGACTAAAATCATGAAGTCGTTATTTTTAAGAATCTGGGTTAAGATTATCACTCGTTTTGCAGTGCTATCAGCTTCTTTAGAAAACGTTCTTTATCTTGCATTTGTGCAAAATCCAAATATAGTAAGATGATGCCATTACCCAGTCATCGCAGCAATCTGCCGTAACCCAAATTAATGAACCACGGATTCACGCCAAGCAGTTTATTATCACGCATTATAGCAACTTCACGATATAATTGAGATGAAAATGCAGTGCACTGGAACTCCCGCGCGTGCTAATGACCCTTAATTTCTATTTTATTTCTTGAGTCATATCCCCAGAGACCCATTAAGTTTACAGCCACAAGCATAGCAGTGCAATGGTTCAAGGTCTAAGAAACTGGAACTGAGTGACTGATGAGTGCAGGCTCATGGTAGCAAACAATGTGCTTGGAAGTCATTATCGTAAATAACATCTCGCTTGTAGGTAGGTACGGTGGGGTAGCTTTAGTTGTTCGTTAAAAGAAATTGGACTAGGTTGTGCAGACGTAAATGAAGATAAGAAACCAATATTCTTATCATGGCAAGGGGAAACGATGCAAAACAAAATGTAGAAAGGTGGTGGACATGTTATGATAAATTTTAAATCAGTAACGAACAACATTACTTCTAGATAAGTTAACGTAGAGTTAAGGGAACCAATCTCAAACTTTTCTTCAATCCCAGAAAATATTAAATTAACAACTGTGGAAGTGCTCAAAGAACACTAAATTGAAGTCTGGCAAAATGTTCCTGTTGAAACGTAATGGCCCTTAACAGCAGATGAAGATGTTGATAATGAAAAGCACTTTTAAACGCGTTCTTAACCGTGCTTTTTGGTAAATATGGTGTATTTTGGCTCTCCAGGCACGTTAGCGTTTTCTTGGCGTAGTACGATGATGCCTTGTCCGGCCAAATCACGTATTTTCCATCCGAGTAATGTTTTTGAAGAAATGGGATGAGTATTTTCTGCAAACACTCTCTCTGGTACACTTCCTGGTTGATGGTAAAACCGCTTGGTTTGAACCACGGCTTCTAAATTCCCATATCGGATATTGCGATGTACGACATAACCTTTGACAAACTTGTGCTTGAATTTGTACATCACCTTTGGAGGAGTAGTAGATTTGTCGGTCGTTTCCGGGCATCTTGGACTTCTATAGAGGAAAGTAGTTTTCGTCGTCCAGAATGAAAGACTTTCTGCCGCACTTCCGGGTCATCCATTGGTTTATTGTCAGCAGCCATGGGAAAATTAATTCACTCTTGTGAGCACCGCAGAAACAAAATAGCTATCCTCACCCACAAACAGATTGCCAAATGAGTGTAAATTTATCAAACCAAGTGACTATGCAGATAGACTCGGAACTGACAGCCGTAAAAGGAGTGAAGGACTGAAAGTGAAAGGCAGCCGAACAATTTTCCCTATCGAGTGAGAACCCGGTTGAATGCGTAAAAACCTAACGCGAACTAATTAAATAGCCGAGTGAGATATATTTTGGCTCAGCTGTAGATCAGCTGAATTGGGTTTTACAGTATAATACTTTTCTCCATGATAATACCAATTTAAATGTGTCAACTTATGTGTAAAGCTAGAAAATAAAAAATGATTCTTTCTGCAAAATTATCACTCAGCTTACTCAGCAGAATGCAACCATAAAATACTCAGCATGCACAAAATAATAAGGGAGGAATCATCAACATTACAACACTCAAAATCATTCATGGTACACTCAGCTGTCTGTTTTGCTCATTTCTGCGTTCATCGAAGAAAATAGAAACAATGAGAATACGACTGAAATCGGTGCGGCTCGCATAAGCTACTGCTCGTTTCTGATGTTGTATGCGTGTGAGTAGATACTAAATGCAAAATGAAACGATTTTTCGCATGATTGATTGTCAGATCACCTGTGATTACACAGAGAATCAACAGAGGATGTTTGGGACTAGCATTCATCCTCAATGTGCAGGAACTGGTGATGTCAAACTTTATAATAGGCAATAACAGTGCCGGCCACGTCCAATTGCAGACCAATTAAGGAATGGGCTTTGTTGGAAGCCGAGAAATCCTACGAATTTGCACGAAAAATCACAGGAATATACACACTACGAAAAAGACATGTAAATTTCAGTGCCCTGAGACCGACACATACAAGCGGCCCTTTTGACATAAGAATCAGTTGAAAAAGACGACAAAATCAATTCAATCAAACGCACTTTTTGTCTAGTTGCATACACGGTAAGAAAAAAGTACCCAACGACCAGTTCATATTTACCTACTTTTGTCTAGTTTGTCTCCTTTTCTCCTTCTAATGTTGTCAAAAACGGAGGAGCAAAACCACCCAACAGGGGTAGTAAAGTGTGGGAACTCAACGTTGAGTATAATCATATTTACCTACTGTTGGGTACAACTAACTTACTGTTGGTTAAAAAGCCAGTGGAAAATTCCATACGAACTGCACCCAAGCAAATGAATATTACTTTGACGCGCTTTACCTACTTTTGGGTTCCTGCACTATAGTGCCGAGATGAGTGAAAAGAACTTAATTTTGGGTACTTTTTTCTAACCATGTATGTTTCAGTTTCAGGACACTAAATTTTACATGCCATGTTTCCATAATTTACGTCAAAGCTGAATTACGTCTCGTGTAAAAATAATAATTTCTAAGTGTGTAGAATAAAACCGTTAGGCTTGTATTTAGCAGGGTTCGTTTTGGTATATGTACGTTACGCTGAATTGAAAAGTTGTGTTAATTTTAAGATAGAAAGCAATGTGACATTAACAATTCTACAAACTCTTATAACATTTCTATGGATATGTTGCTTAATGACGTGTTCAGAGTATCATCAAAGCCATGCGTGGAATTTTTATATCATTCATGGGTTATCGTTTGGGTACGGTTTTTTTTTTTATTAGGAATGTGAAGGAGTTGAACACGCGATCGTTTGCTCAATAAGCAAAAACGGTCGCTACTAGCCACCCGAGACCCTCAGTTTACAACACACCGCTTATGATCAAGTTATTATTGTTGCCATTATCAGGCGGTGGCAACTATCGAGCCAGGGTTGTATCTAATACTGTCTGCGCGTTTTTTGCGCAAAATTAAAACCAGCAAACGATGCTATACTGCTATTCTTTTATGTGCATAAACCTGGAATTAAACCCATGATCAGCTAACAATACATGGTTTCTCTATGGCCACCGAGACCATCATGTCACAAAAAATCAATGTCTACAGCAAGGGACGAATATAGTACTACGGTACTACGGTATATGAAGCTCATTTGCGTCACACGAGTCAAAAACTGTGCTATCCAACTTTTTTGTAAAACTTTACAGAGCCTTCTGAAATCCGATTTTTACGATGTTTATAGCATTTAATTAACCCATAACTTTGTTTTATGTTCTTTTCCAGATTGATCACCATCGATATTTAAAATGCTCTGAAACAAAAAGATAGTCATTGACTGGTAAGTTTAATATTTTACTTCATGTATCAGTACCATTGGGGCCCGCAACAGCCAAAAGTGCAAAGCGACCCTATCTTAAGGCATATGCAGTCACAACGTTTGGCTTACAGATAAGGACAATGACTGTTTCGGCAGACAGTGAGAATTTCAGTATATTTTCACACCAAAACACATAGCTGAATTTCTTAGTCATTCAGCTTCAATAGATTTAGATTTTCATGACGGTGCTATCACATTTTACTTTTACGCACTACAACATAGGGATCGTCGATTAATTATGTCACGCTTTTGGGGGGGACGAGGGGGTTTTGTAAACTGTGACGGGTCATACAAAAAAATAAGGTGCATACAAAAAATTTTACAAAGTTGGGAGGGGGTTAAAAATGGGCCAAATTTGCGTGACATAATTAATGGACCTTCCCATACTGCTGACTTAGAGTTGTTGATAGTAGAGCAGCTGTCCATCAAGTAGTTCAAATGGAAGCCCAAGCAGAGTCAAAAACCAAAATTTTATCTAATATAATATATTGGATAATCCCCTTCTGGGGTAATGAGAAAGGAACCAATAAATGGCTGAAAGTCTCTTTAATAAAACCAAACCTTACCCAACCATTATCTAAAAGATGTACAATTTTGATTTTGTGAATAACAAAGATTTGATAATATTTATTTCTGAAATGCAAGTAGCGTTCATATATTGATGACTTTCTGAAAAATTTAACTGGATATTGTCACTGAGAAAAAAGTCGTTTTTTTTTGCTTTATTATAGAGACTTTCAGCCTTTAGCTGGTTTGTCTCTTGAAGTCGTTTTATGAAAAGCTACGTTATCAAACGTTTGAAAGAGATGTCTGGCAGAATGTCTTTTTCGTAGGTATACACAGATTTACACAGGCTTAAATTGCACGTTCTTGAATACAAAAATCATCATTTGGTGGCATGCTTGGCATAAGGGTGATACGGTCAAAATTTGGTCAAGGGAAAACGCGTGTAAATCGGTGAAATCGTTTATTTAAAAAATCAAATTAAATTTCTTTTTCAAGTTCAATTAGTATAAAATTCAGGAAAAATATTCAGTTAGGCTTCCGCTTTTCCAAATCCGAATTGCCGGGCCTTACGCTTGACCCCTGCCATCAGATTTTGTACAGCCACCTTGTCCACCTTCTTCGCCGCAGAAAGCCAGTTTGCCTTGAACTGCTGCTCGCCCTTAGCAGTTTTTTGGTCTTCTTTAGGTTCCGCTTGACAATAGCCCAGTATTTCTCAATTGGGCGGAGCTCTGGCGTGTTGGGAGGGTTCTTGTCTTTGGGAACCACCTGCACGTTGTTGGCGGCGTACCACTCCATGGCCTTTTTACCGTAATGGCAAGATGCCAAATCCAGCCAAAACAGTACGGAACAACCGTGTTTCTTCAGGAAAGGCAGCAGACGTTTATTCAAACACTCTTTCACGTAAATTTCTTGGTTGACAGTCCCGGAAGCTATGAAAATGCTGCTTTTCAAGCCACAGGTACAGATGGCTTGCCAAACCAGATATTTCTTTGCGAACTTTGACAGTTTCATGTGCTTGAAAACATCTGCTACCTTTCCCCTTCCTTTTGCCGTATAAAACTCCTGTCCCGGAAGCTGCTTGTAGTCGGCTTTGACGTAGGTTTCGTCGTCCATTACCACGCAGTCAAACTTCGTCAGCATCGTCGTGTACAGCCTCCGGGATCGCGCTTTGGCCGTCGTATTTTGTTTATCATCGCGATTTGGAGTCACTATCTTCTTGTAAGTCGATAGTCCGGCTCGTTTTTTGGCTCGATGCACGGTTGTAGACGATACACCCAGCTTATTTGCGGCATCTCGGAGGGAGAGGTTAGGGTTTCGCTTGAAACTACCGGCAACTCTCTTTGTCGTCTCAGCGGCTTCCGGTTTTCGATTTCCCCCCGATCCAGACTTCCTGGCTGTCGACAAACGTTCCCCAAACACTTTAATTACATTTGTAACGGTTGATTTGGCAACTTTTAGCGATTTTGCCAACTTTGCGTGCGAGTAGCTCGGATTTTCGCGATGCGCGAGCAAAATTTTGATACGCTGCTCTTCTTGCTTGGACGGCATTTTGACAACTGAAGAGTGAATTCCAAAATCAAAATAGGAGCAACATTCTACACACACACACCTTCAAAATGAGGGGTGTTCAGGTTTTTTAAATGCAAAATTGAAAGAAATACGTCAAGTTGATATTGACCAAATTTTGACCGTATCACCCTTTACACAGTTTTGCTCACGAACTGCTCATTTACTAATAATTTTGCACAGAGTTGACGAGGCATAGTTCTGTTTGAAGCAGTCGAAATAATTAATGTGTAAAAAATATATAGATATGTAAAAAAGAGGAGATTTTAATTCTAGTAATAAACTGTACGCAAAAATGAAGTGAGAAATGCTCGCTGCACATCGTACACTCTAAGTGTAAAAACTCATTGGTGTTGAGTCAAATGATAATATGTACCTACTCTTTGCATGTCTACATTAAACTATGATCCTAATCTATCAATTACTTTAAAGAAAACTAAATTTCAACAGCTGTGTGAAAAGTTATTAACAAATGAGCAGTTGCTGTGTACAACTGTGCATGTCAAGCATTTCTGGTGATTGGGACGCAAATTCTTCCAATCTAAGTTGATAGAATCCATAAATGGCCGCTATTTTGTTTTGTTTATTGTTTTGTTCAAGAAATGTTTTAGTTTTTAAGATTCGGGTCTTTAAAAATTCTAAGTGATAAGGCATAATAACCAAAATAGCAGCAATTTGTGGATTCTATTCACTTTCATCTTAACGAATGCCATTAGTTGGGGTGGTTTTGAAGCTATCAAACTATAGCTTTTCAAATATAGATCATCCTATAATAATAGGTCAATTTATTTTAAAATACGCAAATGAAGTTGATAATTGAAAGCTTTTTTTTGTATTATTATTGACATTTTACATTCATGTCATATTCATTAATTTATTAAAATAATTCTTTATCATTTCACTTATCTAGACATTCTGTTTACGGGTCTCCTTCATATCTTTGTTTTGCGGAAATTTCTGCGTCGTCTTCTTGTATGTTCACTTCTTCTGCTATCTGATCTTTTGTTGCTTTCTGGTATTCTTCATTCTACATTCACTCTTTAATCTATCATCTTCTTTCTTCTCTCCATATTTATGTTTATTTTATTTATTTCTTCATGATCTTTTTTCTTCATCCATCATTATTTCCTTGTTTTCCTTCTACGTCTATCTGCTTCACCTTCTTGCCGCTACACCGGGTTTCGGCTGATCTTCCATCTTTTCTCTGCATCCTTCAAATTTATCGGTACAGACCAGTTTGACGTAGAAAATTCAGCAAATTTGTAGTTTGCTAGAGCATCTCGTAAGCTTGCTGTGCCAATGTCGTTCTCTTGTCGTTGACTCTCGTAGTTTTTGCACTGCAGAATCACGTGTCGCACATTTAAAACCGTTCCACAACATCTGGGCGGGGGCTTCATTTTTCAATAAGAACGTATAGGTTAGCCGCGTTTGACCAATTCTTAGCCGTGTTGGCACACGCTGGTCGAAAGCAGACTTGGTAAAAACACCGCTCGGTGCGGCTCGGTGGCAACCTACTCATGTATGCACAGCACTGGGTTTCTTCGATAAAGCACCCGGTGTCGGTGCAACATGTTGGCACGCCACCGAACCAAAAGAGAAACCCAAACGCGGTGCTACGGGCTTCGGCTCGCCACCGTGCGGCACGGAGCCAACGAACCGCTCATGATTTCGTATCGTTCGTTGTTGGTGATGCGCTATACTCGGTATCATTTGCGTTTTTGTCAAAACTGAGTTTTTCAATGGAAGTGGTAGCAAGTAGCTCAAAGTTTAATTATACTTATTTACATAAGAATCCATGGTGCGAAGCAAACTTAAAACGCGTTCTTAATTGCGACCGTCATTTCTCTCGACAGGAACAGGGTCCGTTCGGATACGGATGTGTTGGCCATTTTCGAAATGTTGAAAATTATGAATAACCGGGTGAAGCAAAATGCCTAGATCAACCATAGAAAAGGGCCCATCAGCATTTGTAAACAAATCGTTCTAAAGCCCTTTCCTAACACAGCAAATGCCGCCTACGCAAACCAACACTATCATCGGATAAGGGAAAGTTTCCCCTACATGATATAACGTTGGTTTGCGTGGGTGGCCTTCGCTTAGTGAGGAAAGGTCTTTAGAACGGTTTGTTTACAAATGCTGAAGAGCCCTTTTCTATTGTTAATACAGAACTTCTTTGGTGCTCTGGTGCTAATTTTACCACTCATCATTCTCGTCTACGATTATGTTTGGTACATGTTGTGCCGCGCTGCGTAAGCTAAAGAAAGTTTTCTAAATAAGAGGCTGTTCATAAGCTACGTAGACAGCTTAGAGGGGAGGGGGGGGGGGGGTTTGGTAATTATCCACGACCCATACAAATTTTAAAAATTTTGTATGGACAATTGTCTACGCAGGGGGAGGGGGGTCAAGAATAAAAAAAAAACTGTCTACGCAGTTAATGAACAGCCCCTAACGTTATAGTGAAGCAAATTGTATTCGCCAGTGAAAATAAGAACAAAACAATTAACTTGTAATTGAACTTTGCGGAAAAAAAAACTATGGTTTTAAGGCAATTATATTTGCCGCATTAATGCTTCATGGTGAAAATCACTGTTGCATTAATTCGCATTGACGGCATTTGCTCTTCACAGTGTGATAGTTCCTTAGGTGCTGTTCATAAACTACGTAGACATGTGGGGGGGGGGGGGGGTTGGGTTGTTGGCAATTGTCCACGGTCCATACAAATTTTTAAATTTCAGGGAGGGTCAAGAATCCCAAAAAACTGTATACGTAGTTAATGAACAGCCCCTTTGAGATTTTTCATTTGAGCGACAGAGTACGGAACAGCCCGCCATGCTTCATGCACAGAATGACAGTTGTTTGTGGGGTTTTCCTATAGGAGTAAAGAGGTA